GCCAATAAGAAAGTGGAACTAGCCGGGCCAGGCAGTGTTTTAAAAAAATGCAGTTTCTGTGTAATTATTTCGGGGCATAAGCCTGCCATGCGGGTGGCTGGGTGCCGGGGACACAGCCCCACGGCTCTTATTTCAACAGAGTGGCGCCCAACGTGGGGATAAATCCACTTAAAAACCTGAGAAGGCTTAAAAATAAGGGAGAGAGAGTTTAACACAGATTTTTGCTGTTTGTTGGTGGTGTGCCGTAAAGAAATTGTCCTGACTCAGCAGCAGAAAAAAACTGGCTGTTTTAAAATGCCCGCTTTCTGGGCTGTGCCACCATTGCGATCTCTGTCTGGCTCCTGCGGGAGACAGAGATTATGAATGGAGCATTTGGATTAAAGTGCTACGATTTGTTTGATGGCAACTAGACTGCTGTGTGCCTAAAAGGGGACATTGCGTGCACAGCTCAGAGGCACAAGCAGCTCCGCCATGCTACTGGTGCAATGTGCAAGGATCAGAGGCACGAGAGGCTCCACCATGTTGGACTGGGCGGGGCCAGCATGCAGTACCTGTTTTTGACCTAGTAATGTCACAGCTTAGATTCTTAAGCACTTAGTGATTCAAAGGCGCAAAACAAAGTGCTCCTGGATAGTAAAAGAATTACAGATTCACAATAGGACAGATTCAGACATAAAAGACCTTTATGGATCACATTGTTGGATGAAAGTACGTAGGCTTGGGAAAGAAAAGAAAAAGAATATAAAGAATAAAGTTAATGTCTTAAAAAGAAAAAGGGTAAAGTCTTTAAAGAGACAGAGTACAGAAGTACAGATAGTTATAGATTAAGAGAAATAAAAAAAATAAGCCACATAAAAATGGAAAATTCACAGAGAGTCTGGATTATGTACATTGTGTTTTCTTTAAAATTTTTGACTGTGAAGGAGCTAAGTACAGAGAGACAATTCATTATATGGGCTGCTAAGCTGAACCTGCACATATGTTCTAAAGGTATCTTGACTTCAGAATTTGGATCTAAGGTTATGATGCTTTGGAGAGGGTCTTCTTTTGTTTTCACAGAGGACCAGACCGTATGGATTTCTTCTATTCCAATTTGGTATGATAGACCATGCCCTCCTGAAAGGTTGCTGTGAACACCCTCAAAAAATTGCTTCGCTCAATTGCCAACTGAGATGAAACTAGCACACAGGTTATATCATGAATGACCTAATTAACGACGCCCCTATTCAGCAGGAAGCAGTTTGGAGAGAAAAAACTACGCCCATGTTCCCAAATATTGTTTATAAATGTTCTTTTACATTTAAAGGGGGATATGATATAGATATAAATAATTTGCATTGGTATGGATTTTACGGTCAATTTTGTTATATGTATATGTATTTTTGAACTTGATTAAGGTATTGTGATTGTGTATTTCATTTAAAAATGTAATGTATAATTAGGAAATATAGGTTGTTAATGGATAATCATCGCTAATAGTTAAGCTTGTAGTCATGTTAATTAGATTTTTTAGATATATAGAGATATATTTCAATTAGATAGGCATTCTTCATATCTTTCAAAGACTACAGAATATGGCATTTAAAATATTTTGATAACTTGGGACTTTTCATGACAAGGAGACACGTCTGCTCCTGGCAGCACCAGCTACTTCAAGAGGAAGATGGGCATAGAAGAGGATCCTTATGGAGTTTGATAGCCATTTGGGCAAGAAACTGTTCTTGCCTGGACTGTTGCATAAACTGGACACAGAGAACCCGCAGAGAGAGGACTGCTGAACTTGCCTAAAGGTGAGATGGTCTTTAGGGGTTCCTGATTCATGAAAGAGTCTGTGAGACATTCTGCAGGACACAGCAGAAAATGACTGAACTGTCTTTAAAATTTCCTGCTTCATGGAAATGTCTGCTGGATACTATGGGCCTGTAGGCCGAAGATGGATGCCCCAACGGTACAGAGGAACTTTGGGTAACTGTCCAGGCAGCGAGATGTCTCTGTCATTTCTAGAGTTTTGGATTTCTTGTTTACTTAAGCATTATTATATCCTTCTGGAGTCTTTGATGGAGTTGAAGAATGAATAGTTATAGTTTTCCTTAGTTATGATAAAAGATAAAATAGATATATTGTAACTGTAATTCTTGCTTGATAGCTGTTTTGCTATATGTAATTTTACTATGTTAAAGTTAAAGCCTTTCTTTTTTGTTTAAACAGAAAAAGGGGAAATGATGAAGGTGGGTCTTGTATCTTATCTGTTGCTTTCATTGGTTAATAATAAAGAAACTGCCTCGGCCCTCATAGGACAGAAAATTAGGTAGGCGGAGTGGACAGAGGAGAATGCTGGGAAAAGGAAGCTGAGTCAGGGAGTCACCATGATTCTCCCGCTCCAGACAGACGCAGGTTAAGATCCTCCCTGGTAAGCCAGCTCGTGGGCTACATAGAATATTAGAAATGGGTTAGAACAATATGTAAGAGCTAGCCAATAAGAAACTGGAACTAGCCGGGCCAGGCAGTGTTTTAAAAAAATACAGTTTCTGTGTAATTATTTCGGGGCATAAGCCTGCCATGCAGGTGGCCGGGTGCCGGGGACGCAGCCCCACTGCTCTTATTTCAACAAGAACTCTGGTATATTTCATTTTCAATTGATTCTCTCTCTCTCTCTCTCTCTCTCTCTCTCTCTCTCTCTCTCTCTCTCTCTGTGTGTGTGTGTGTGCACGTGTGTGTGTCTGAGTGCATTCATGCCACAGTGAGCATGTAAAAGGAAGTCAGAAGACAGCTTTTGGAAGTTGGTTCTCTTCTTCTGCCATATAGGTCCTGGGAATTGAACTTGGCTCACTAGCCTCAGCAACAAGTGTTTTTACTGGCTGAGCTGTCTTGCTGGTCATCAGCTGATATTCTGTCATATCAGGAATGGGTGAAGTTGAAGTCACATGCTTTTGGAAGCATAAATTGCTGTCTTAGTTATTATTCTATTGCTTTGAAGGGACATCATGACCTCAGCAACTCTTAGAAAGCATTTAGTTGGTTCAGAAGTTTAGTCCACTATCATCATAGTGGGAAGCATGGCAGCATGCAGGTAGACATGGTGCTGGAGAGGGAACTGAGAGTTCTGCATCCAGATGGACAGGCAGCAGGAAGAGAGCACCACTGGGCCTGGCTTGAGCATTTGAAACCTCAAAGCCTACTCCCACATTTCCAACAACAAGGCTACACTCACCCACTCCAACAGTGCCACACCTCCTAATCCCTCTCAAATAGCACACTCCCTAATAACTACACATTTAACTTTGTCAGGCTATTGGGGGCATTCCTATTCAAATTACCATAGTTGCCACTGTGATGGATGATTGATGTAAAGGTCTCCCCTGGTTGCTTGTGTGCCCCACAACTTCTACATCTCAACACCAGTGTGTTGGCTTTCTTCTTCCTCCTCATGCATTCACTTGCAGCCAGAGAGGTATCTTCAGCATGGTTTGGAAAGTCAGTCATCCCCTGTTATCTGTGTGGTAGGCATTTCCAGTCATAAAACCATCCTGGGGCATTTTCACAGAGTACAACCGACTTATAGCCTGTACCTTCTAACAGGCAAGGAAGGGACTGGCTTCTGCTGGAGTGGGAGGAAGGCTCTGATACCTCAGTTTAGCTGGAACCCTGGAGCCTTCTGCCCCTCTTGAGGGCCAGCATGGGCCCAAAGGAAGGGAACTTGCAGAAATGGAAAATACACAGAACTGTTATAGAAAAATTACCCATTTCGCCATTTTGCTCTAATTGTACACATTTGGCTCTGTTCTATTTAGAAGTACCATGTGGCTTGGCGCCTCTCATTTGGCTGATTGGAGCCATAGAAGCAGACAGGGTGTGGAGGGAGTGAGGATGAGGAAATGGGGAAGAGGAGCTGGCTATGACCAGAGCTAGCTACCTACTCACAGATTCTTATCAGAGCTTTCACCAGGGAAGTTTGTTGGAGTCACCCCGCAAGGGATGGTGTTTCTTGCACTTTTGCCTCAACACACTGCATGACAAGGGGTTCATGGTGATCATGACAAACTCGGCAAAATCCCAATGTAGACTCAAGGAAGATGCCCCCACCTGGTTCAATTCAATCTAATTTTGGTGAAAACTTATTGGTAAGAATAACGGGCTTCCAATATCTTTTCCCGTCAACTTGCTTTGATTGGTTGCCCGTCACACGGCTGTGTCACTTTTAGATGCTAAATGAGAAGCATCTGTAAGAAAGCACAGACACACACGCCAGTCCCCACCACCATGGGTAACGTCCAGCATGAAATGTGCGTTTTTCTTGAAGTCGAACACACTACTTTAATTATTACATGCAGTTTGGAAACATGAATATTTATACAATTAGAAACTTGGAAGCCTAGCACAGATTCTTTCTGCTTGGACTCTGACACACACATTCTTCTACTGATTCGATCTACAGAGATGGAGGGCAGCCTTGGACTCATCGGTCTTAGAGAAGCACGCAGCAGAATCGGTTATGAGACCTAGGTCCACGTGCCAGCTTCGGGGATCATCATTTCAGGTCTGTTTGCATGAGTGACACTAGGTGTTTTGTTTCTTGTGTTTGAGCTGCTCAGTTTTGTGTGATTAGACTCAAATCACTTAGGGAGTATATGGCTTATGAGAATATTCAAATAGCGTGTTTAAAGTCTCTTGCCAGAGCTTCTTTTAACCTCTTCGTTTTTTTTTCTTCCCCTGCTCTAATTTTTTTACAAAGGTAGATATTCTTATACATTTTCTAGTTAGTTTTGCGTGTGTGTGTGTTTTGGGGGAGGGAATCTAAATAGAATCTGTAACCAAAGTTGGAACTGGGTGCCGAGCACCCGTCTGCGCTCTATGTTCTAGAACCCAGTTCGCGAGCTTTGGGCAAGGGGCTGGAGGTTGAGAATACACACACAGAGACAGACAGACACACGGACCTCCAATCACTGGTACAAAGCCCTTCTTTAATAGCACCATGGAGGCTTAAATACCCTACAGTCAATGGCCAACAGGTGAAAATCCCATCCTCTGATCCTCTAGGCTAGGCACAGATTCTAATAACTTCAATTAGAAGGCGCTAGACAGGGAAGAGCAGCTGAAGGCCAGGACTCAATTAGTCCCAACAATTGGGAATCTTTTCAATTATATTGCTCAATACAAATCCTACAAGCATATTTCATCATTCTTATTGCGTCAATGAAAATAAAAAAAAAACCTGATACATGAGAAATTATATAAACTCTGGTTATTCATCTTCCTAGGGCTGGATTGGTCAAACAAGGGAATACACTTTCCTGGGGAATGACGTCATCACTTATAACAATCAAAGTAGATGCGGCCTTTTGATACCAAATCATGTGTGTGTACACGACTTGACAGCATGTGGAGGAAAACCTTGTGATGGGGTCCCAGGACACGAGGGACTGCAGCTCTTTGAGAACTCTGAGCAAAACCCTCTGTCGTCACCAGTGCCTTCCTCTGCCATTGTACATCTCCTGGGAAGAACTTAAAAAGATGGGGAGAGGACCGGAGGGCTGAGAAGCTCGCATCTGTGCCCAGGAGTCGTGTCTGTTTCCCAGCGTTACAGAGATAATGGAGCTTTGCGGGTGAACTAGGCTGCCTCCTCAGTGCTGGAATCACAAGGGCACAGTGCCACACTTGCCTTTTTAAAACTGAACTATAGAGATCAAACTTAAGCTTTCAGGCTTGCATGGCGAGCCCTTCACCAACTGAGCCATTTCCCCAGCCAGGGATTTTTTTTTTTCTTTTTTGTTTAGCCCTGAGCAAGTGATAGAAGTGTGGCAAGGAGAGGTGGGGAGCCATCTGAGGCCATGTTAGGGGTTGGGACGTGGAGTTCCTTGGGTTAGGTTGATCTTATCTTCCTTGCTTGGTAGCCTTGGGAATATACTGTTCACCTTCCAGAACCTGCCAGGGTTTTCTGAGAACGCAATAAAATTCCTTCCAGCTGGGGCTGGAAAGATGGCTCGGTGGTTAAGAGCACTGCCTGCTCTTCCAAAGGTCCTGAGTTCAATTCCCAGCAACCGCATGGTGGTTCACAACCATCTGTAATGAGGTCTGGTGCCCTCTTCTGGCCTGCAGGCATACACGTAGACAGAACATTGTATACATAATAAACAAACAAACAAATATTCCTTCCAACTTTTTCATGGCATCTGTTCCTTAACCCTCTTATCATACCTTCCAAGTTCTTCTCATGCTTGTCTCAGAGGGATCACAGCTGCAAGCTACCACAGCCCAACCCAGAGGAGCACAAGACCCATCGGCATAATAGACCTGTGACAAATAATCTCGGTTGTCAGCCTGACTAGACCTGCAGTTGTCTAAAACATGAGTCTGTTGGGGGACTTTCTTCACCAGGTTATCTGAGACAGGAAGACCCACCCTAAATGTGGGTGGCACTTTTGATGGCAGTCAAGGTGAGAGGACATGCAGGAATGAACCTTTCTTTTTTTTACCTGCTTGCCCTCCCTCTTGCTGGTAAGTTAATCTTGTCTTGCTGCTCCGGCATCCCTTCACCAATAGTAGAACCAGCTTCTTTGGGTTTTGAACATATACTGAAGGCCAGGGTTTCTCCAGGAATCCTCTAGGCTTTGGGACTTCAGAGATGTCCTGTGTAAGGGACTAAGTAACTCCTGAGTTCTTAGCCTCTCCAGCGTGAGATAGCCATTGCTAGGCTACCATAACCACACCATGTAAGCCAATCTAATAAATCATCTGTATGCGTGCATTCTATCAGTTCTGTTCCTTTAGAGAACCCTGACTAACACATGTATGCATGGCCTTACTTTGTCATGGAGTATGATTTCAGTATTTCAGTAATCAGGCTTAGAGCAGACCTGGAGAAAGGGAATCCACGGTTTTTACTTGATTAGAAACATCTGAGAGGGAGAATTTCAGAGGAATTCTGATTTTGCCTCTTTTCCATGTCTCTGTTTCCCCCCTATGCTGCATTAATCTGTTTGTTATAGAAAATGGATTGGACTATACTTCAAGAATTGTTTTTTTAATTTTCATTGCTAAAATCAGTTTTTTAATAATTACAAAGATAAATCTCAGTTGAAAGATGCATCCTATAGCCACCATTAAAAAAACAGCTTGATTTACTTATTTTAGCTGTCACTAGGAGTAGAGTGGGGGTTGCTGAGGGTGATGTCCATCTGTCCATTCATCTATCCATCCATCCACCTGTCGGTCTCAAGAAGTAATTTGTAACACTTGGCTCCACAAAGCTATGATCTAGATGGTATAATTCAAACATGGAATAAAGATTGATGAATACAACCTGCCCACTTATGCAGGAGGAAGGCATCAATAAATAATTACAAAGTTAAAAGTAAAAATAAGTGATTAAGTGCATATTTGCATGGCTAGGCATGAGTCAGTAATGGCAGACTCTGGGAGCAGAGAACCATCATTGTAGCCCCAATATGTGATCCTTCCCCCTTTTCCTCTTATTGACTAGTCAGGAGAGAATGGTCTTATGGTTACTTAGATCTTCCTCGGACAGAAGTTTCTGTCCTGCAAGTTCCTGCAGCTGTTCATTTCCAAAGAAATACACAGAGGCTTATATTAATTATAAACTGTTTGGCCTATTAGCTCAGACTTATTCTTAACGAGTTCTTACAACTTAAATTAACCCATAATTTTTATCTATATAATGTTTAGCCATGTGTCTCAGTATCTTACTCAATGAGGAGGCATTCTCATCTTGCTTCCTGTCTGGCTGGTGACTGCAGACTGAGCCTTTCCTCTTCCCAGAATTCTCCTAGTCTGGTCGCCCTGCCTGTACTTCCTGCCTGGCTCCTGGCCAATCATCATTTTATTAAGTCAATACAATGTTTACAGGGTACAAGACCCTTGTCCCACAGCCGTCTTTGTCATTCCTCCTGTCACCTTTGACTTTTTTCTCAACAAACAGCTACTCATGGGTTCATCTCTACCGCTTACATCCTGTTTCAAGCTTATCAGGTGCAAGATCTGGCAGGCTAAGCTTCTAGTTTGGTGTGGGGTGGGGGCCTCTCGGCAGAGTTGGGGAGGGTTACCAGACTAGCAGGCATTTGCAATGTCTAGTGTTTTCTGTGCATTTGTAGCTACACTTAAGCTGGCTTCCGGCACTGCAGAAAATGAACCACTGGCTCAAGTCCCGTACACGAATATAGCTTTCACTGCAGGTAGGGGTGATGGGGGTGCAGTGTGGGACCAGTTTCAAATGAAATATGATATGACTGAAAGGGTTCAGACAGATGTAAGAGATGTGGGTGGGAGTTCAAAGTACGGGGTGAGATTGCTCAAAGACTTTTGTCTGATGGTCCAGAGATTATGACGAGAATGCTGGCCTGTACGGTGGCAGCCAGGAGGTTCCATCTGCTTCCTGCCTGTTACTTGTTTGACAGCAATGGTTCTTCACCCTTCTTCCTGATGCTGCGACCCTTTAATACAATTCCTCATACTGTGGGGACCCCCTAACCATAAAGCTATTTTCCTTGCTGGTTCCTAGAAAGTGCTACTATTGTCACTCATAAAGTCAACACCCGTGTTTTCCGATAGTCACCCCTGTAAAGGGTCATTTGGCTCCCAAAGGGCTTGCGACCCACAGGTTGAGAACCGCGGTTCGACAGGCACCAACTTACTTCTTCCTGGGAACCATGGGAAACTGATTTTGTCACACGATTTAAGTTGGCTGCTTGCTGAGGAACAAGGGTGTGGGCTCAGGAGTGTCTGTTCACAGTGGAAATCAAAGGTCACAGGGCAAGATGGCTCCTTGGAACAGGCACAGAGACGAGAAGGGGATGTGTCAGGAAGGGGGCACCTGAGGGGCAGAAAAAAAAAACACCTTATTCATCAGTCTCAGGGTGAGTAAATTGAATCCTGCTGAACCGGCTGGAGCAAGAGACCACGCAGGAACTCAAGGAGGCTGGTGGGAGAGGGGCTAAGGTTGCTCAGCATCCGGAGCCCTGCCCTGAGTATCAGGCTGCTTTGTCCCATAAATGTGTGTCTTTCCACTTGCTGGGCTCATTCTTGCCCTTTCCTATGCTGTTTTATCCATGCAGTAAAAAGCCAAAATAGATGCATTTTCCCCAAATTTCTAACGAGTGGTTTCAGCAAGTAGACAGAGAGAGACACTAATGTGACATTTGGGGTCTCAAATTCCAAAATTCATAACAAGGAGAAAATCACCTCTGCCATATCCATGCCTTGAGAGCTTTTTTCCCCCCCGGGTGACAGAGCAAGGGAATCTGTATTTTGAACTTTTACTATAAAGCTATGAGTCTAGGGAAAGGTGGTCCAGGCTTGGCTCATTCCTAAATGATGTCATGGGGATGGTTATCAAGGATTTTTTGAGAATTCCCACGATGCAGGGGTGACCACTGTCACTGTGATTCCCATGATGCAGTGGTGACCACTGTCACTGTGATTCCCACGATGCAGTGGTGACCACTGTCACTATGATTCCTATTATGCCCTTGTGGGCTTTTCTGAGGAGGAGTGAAGAGTCAGGGAAGGATTCTCTTTGCGTGACATTGTCTTATCTGGAGGCAGACAACAGTGTTGCTGGTTTATGGAGCTTAAATCTGATACGATTATGGAATACTCTTTAAGAAAAATGTTTTAAGATACAGAATTCGGGCTAGCGATGCAGTCGGGGTCATTGAGAGTGTGAGGGCTTCCCAGGCAGCCAGCTGGTTGCATTTCTTCCTCTGCATCTGTGGCCAGCCTGAGTTACAGGAAACCAGGTCGCTAGGGTTGCAAGGAAGTGGGAACGCGAGTGTCTAGCGTCTGATTTCAGGGGAAGGGAGAAGGATGGCTGTTGGGTAACAGCCGGTTTGTTCCCACGGGCGTCCATGGGTAGACACATCATGGTAGATGCTGCTGCTAACGCGCAACAGAGGGACAGAACTGCTGCAAAATGTGTTTGATTTGGGGCTGACTGTGGACAGGATGCAGTGGGCTAACCAGTTCCACCACCCTGGTCCATCTAGGATCTCGGTACGTGATAGGTCAAACTGTAGATGTGATCATCATGGGAGAGTTAGTGTGGCTGAGCTGAGCTCCTGCGGTTGCCCAGTGAGATTCTTAGGGGTTCTTCTTGCAGCTAGGTGAGATGCATAGACATAGCCATTCCTGTGCATTACACAGGGATTTTCAGATGGCTCAGATTAGCTCAGGAGAGGCCCTGGGGGAAGTCTTTGTAGGAAGTTCTTTCTTTCTTTTTCTTTTTTAAAAATGGTTTCTCCTGTCCTAAATTATTTTTAAATATTACAAGTGTGTTTTTATTTCATTTATATCAATGACACAATATTAATTGTACCAACTATTCTTTAGGTGTTTTTTTTTTTTTTTTTCTCTTCAGTTTTTTGAGACAGGGTTTCTCTGTAGCTTTGGAGCCTGTTCTGGAACTAGTTCTTGTAGACCAGGCTAGCCTCAAACTCACAAAGTATTCTTTAGTTTTAAGGCCCCAACATAGCTAAAGTACAGAATATTCAGCCAGTGTTGTGGGCCGGGCATGTAGGTGAGTAGCAGAGCACTTGCCTAAGATGAATAAAGGCCCAGTTCAACTCTCTCTCTCTCTCTAACACACACACACACACACACACTCAATACTGTCAATACCGACACAAAGCCAGTATGCGCTTGGGGTTAGCTAGCTAGCAAGCAAAACTCTTAGATAAAATCCGTTTGTACCCAAAGGCAGATTTCAACAGAGGCAGTGGAAACAAGTGCCCCAGGTTTCCCCCCTCACTTACAAATCTGGTTACAGGGTATTGGAGTCTCCAGGTACCATCAAAGTTAAAGTTTCAGGAGCACAGTTTCTGAGGTCAGACTCAGCTCTCTAGCTGTGTGTTGGTTGCCCGACTTTGCAGAGGAAGGCTTGAGTTATTCCTGCCTTCGGCTCCTTCCCTGAGTATTCTTGCTGTAAGAGTGAAGATGGAGGACCTCAGTGTAGAGGTTTCACACCCTCAGTGTCGTAGCTGGAGCCTTTAGCAGGAAGCAGACTGGAGAAGATGAAGCCTTTCGCCAAGCCCTCTAAGCTCCAGCTATGTTCCTGTCCGGGGCTGTTAAATACCCGTGTGTTTTAGACTGCTTCTCAGCTTCCAACTGGATCCTAGAAAAGATTCTTCCTCAATTTCCTGTTCTTCAACATCAAGAAAAGTGTTCTGCTGCCCCCCCCCCCCCCCGCTGCTTCTTTCCACAGGGAAGGAGAGAGCCTCATCCACTGATTCTCTGCCGTGAAGAACACAGGAAATTGATGGAGACGGGAATGATCGAGCTCCAGAGTGTGAGGAATGAATGATATGAACACACACACACTCACACACACACACACACACACACAGAGAGAGAGAGAGAGAGAGAGAGAGAGAGAGAGAGAGAGAGAGAGAGAGAGAGAGAGAGAGAGAGAGAAGGGAGAGGGCACAGCAGTGCAGGGTTCTGAGTCCTGCAGTTATTTCTGGCTTTGAATTGTGTCCAAGTCTCATACATTCACAGACGGCCTCGCCAAGGCCCACAGCTGTCCTGCATTTTCAACAGATCCCACAGGGCCTCGATGAGGCTGGGAGACATTCCTTTGCTCTGACACAGGGGCTAGAAGAAAGGGCCATAACTTCGGAGGCTGTGGAGGTGGGAGCCCGCAAGCTCGACTTTCCTGAAGTGCCTGGACACATACAAGTCCAAGAGGGCACAAGATGGTACAGCCTGCGATGGTCACGGGGACTGTGGGTGACTGTGGAAGCCCATACACCCAGTGTGCTCTGCTTTGGGGGGCCGTGGTGGACAGACACATGTTCCCGTTGCTGTTTGCGATGTTTGTCACAGGAAAGGCTTGTTCCTCTGGAGATCGTCCCAGCTGTTGGTAATGTGCTGATAGACTACGGCCAATGCTGAGCGGGCGAGCCAGATAAACAGGATGTCCACAGTATGTGGAAGCACTCGAGTGTAGCAACTCTCTGCCCATCTCTCAGCCCCATAAGGGACCGACATGCCTTTCTGCATCTGCCTGCGTAGAGCAGAACACGAGCACAGAACATGTGTGAGAAGCCCTCTCTCGGGCTAGAGGGGTTATTTATTGGTATGACTGGGAGAAATCTGGAATAAATGGGAAGGGAACATGGCTTTCTTGTTAGTCGTTTCCTTGCTGGGAAAGACTTTAAGACATCTCAACATAGAGAGAGGAAGACATAATTAGGTCATCAGTGGCTATTGTGGGAGACGAGGGGGCCAGTCGACGGGAATAGCTCTGCATGCCAGGGGAATCGACTTCATGCTTTCTTCTTGTCAGACACACATTAGTTATTTATACGAACGCACAGAGACAAGTGGTGGTTATGTCATTGCCCTTCTTGTTTGGAGACGCTGTGTCTGTTGATGATTAGTGTGTAAACACATCCTCAAGGAGGCATTGGGAGGCAAAGTGGCCCCTTCCATAGCCCTGTGCAGGCTGGGCCCTTGGAAGAATAGCAGACATCGTGGGGAGGGCTCTTCTGTGGCTGAGGGTGTCCAAGGTGAACCCCAGAGTAAAGACATTAGGGCTGAAAGAGAACTCAGCTTCTCTTCTGGCCTGAGTTTACGGATATGGGAACCATGGCTGTGATTGCGCAGATCTTCCAGAAATGTGGCCAGAAAGTCCGATCTGCGATTATTGTTCTCCGAGACGCCGTGACGCTTTCCATGGCGCGAGGCACATATTCTCCTTTCAGGGCACCAGATGCAGCACCATGCACGTGGGCTCAGTGTTATCACCGACTGCTTCACCCCAAACGTTGATTGTTTGGATTCAATACATTCAAAATACATTTGTATTTCAATGTACAGTAGAAAGAACAAGAAGAAAACCCCCTCTGCTTTCAGTTTTTTTTTTATTACCTCAAAACTTAGAATTTAAAATTTGTTAATGATGTACGAGAGGTGAATTGCTTAAACTAGAAATCTCACGAAAGGAAAACAAATTGAATGATGATATGAATCTCCAGAGAGAATCAAGATTTTTCTTCATGTATATATGTTTGGAACAGGTAAGCTGGGTCACATTTAAGATTCTTTTATGTGTATGACTGATTGCTCGCATGTCTGGATGTGCACAGTGTGTATATATATCTGGAGACCAGAGGAGGGTATAGAAATTGGAATTACAGATGGCTGGGAGTTACCTTGGGAGTGCTAGGAAACAAACCCAGGTCCCCTGGAAGAGCAGTCAGTGCTCCTGCACAGCGCTGTCCTCCAGTCCTGCAGAAGCAGAGTTAGCCTCTGTTTTGTGGCCTGTATCTTCATATAAGTATAGACTCACACGCACTCCCTGCCGCCCACCTCCCTTCTTCCCTTTTCTTTGTTGTGTTTGGGGCAGGGTCTCATTGTGTGGACCAAGTTGGTTTTGGAACATACCGTGTAGTTTAAGCTAGCCTCAGACTCCTGCCTCAACCATCAAGAACTTGAATGACAGCCACCACGCCTATCACTGAAAGATGAATAAGTTCAATGAGAACAAATATATTTGTGATATCATGTTTGTTGACACAGCAAATCGGCCCATTTTACTCATCTTATTTTAGGATATTTGTTCATCTTTAATTTTTGGACACTCAAGAACAGTTTTCATCTGCTGTGAATTACTATACTACGAAGTTTCACGGAATCATGCATGAGCTCTTGTTTTCATGAGTAGAGTTTCTGGACTTGATATACAGCAGGTCTCCAGTTCCCGCTTCTCTTCCCAGGGTCAACACCTCCGTGGTTTGTACGCGGGGTTGCCCGACCTTCACAGCCAGCAAGACAAACAAATCACAAACAACACGGCCTCTTCAGCTAGATAGTAACAAGGGCTGAGTCCCCACCCATCGGGGCTTTCAGTTACTAAAGCGCTTTGAAGGGGGAGACAAAAGGCATTGGGCAGACAAAGAGGACACGTGTTTGTGGCAGGAGTCCTCTCGTTTGTACCCTTCAGAGACGAGAGGGTGGTAACCTTCAACTCCGCAGGGTCCTCAGGAGGAGTCTTGGGTCACTTTAGGGATAGATACTCGTTAACAGACTTCTGAGTCACGTCTGTTTAGTTGGGAAGAAGAATGGACGTGGTTCTCTGTCAGCTTGGAAGTTGCTAATTAGAACGCAAGCACGTTGGCCGTCTTGGGAGACGGAGATGCTCAACTTCCTATTTGACTGGCTACGCTCACTCCGGATATGCAGTTGCTTTTACTATGAGAATAAGTACTAGCCACACTCACTTTATGGCTTGGTGTACCGATGGATCTAAAAGAAAAAAAGGAGCATAGTGCTAAGAACATAACTTCAGAAGGAAAAGTACCTCAAGGCTCCTTTTCGCTGTACGGCCCTGTGGCACTGGGCTGGCTTTCTGGAGTTGAAAATCGCCACAGCCACGGTTTGAGAGCACTTGCAGCCTTTACACGGCGTTAGAGCGCAGCTTTTCATTTGTAACTGTCTTTTCCTCATCTGACTGTTTCACATCATCTGCAGCCATTGAGTAAGATCGCTGTGTCGTCAAAGGGACGATTTCTTCAGGGAGGTATTTTACTATCACACAGATGTTGACAGATGTCAGATTACACCACAACTGAATTTAAGTTCTCCATAAAAACAGGCAACGCATTTTACCATTGTCGTCCTGTTAGTTCATTTCTTAGAAAGCAAGAATTTCAGCTAAAATGGTTTTGGCCACAAACGGAGCGTACTTTGGGTGCGGAGTTCTAGAACACTCCAGCAAAGCTTCTGGGGTTTTTCTTGTTAGTGTTTTGGGCGGTGGGTGGATTTGGATTTTATTAAACACACATCTCATATTAGTTAGTAAATATCCTGTCAGATGACCCGAGTCTTCTTCAAAGCTGCAGGAATGGAGGTCGCGGCATTGGAGAGCACGGCAGGTGCATTTCGACGGAGCAGGGAGAAATGGAAAAGTCAAGAAAATGCCTATCCTGAGGATAACTTCCGGCTCAACGTGGACTCAAGCTGTGCCCATCAGGGAGTTCTGGGTGATGGATTCTATATGGAGTGAGAACCTGGTGGGTGTTTGCCCCCAGATCACACGTCTAACCCAAGTGTCAGCTCTTCAGAGGGACTTCCGTCAGCTTCATCATTGCCCCCCTCCTGTCCAAATTCCTGTCATTCATACTGTGACCTCTGACCCACCAGTTAATGCTGGACCTCTCAGCCACCCATTACTTGAGTTCTGTTTCCAAAGACTGGGTATGTATCTCTGTCACTCTCCTGTTAAACTAGAGCCACGAATCGGGGACTGTGTCTATGGCAGACTCTGAACATGGTACCTCGTTAGGTATCTGAGCACTTCCGAATAAATGTAACCCCTGGTGGGAACTTTGTACCAGTTTCTTATGCAATAAATGGATCATATTTTTATTTTATTTATATATGCCGATTTATACTTTAAAAATAAAACATTTATCTTATTATATAGAGGTTGGGCGTCTTTAAATTAAAAAAAAAATCTGAAATCTGAGGTGCCTCAAAATCTGAAACTCTTTGCGTGTTGACATGATTGCCTCAAGCGGAGGATTCCAAGTCATCAAACGGTTTGAAATAATGAGAAAATTTCCCTCCAGACTATGTGTATTCACATGGCACAGAAACGAATGTTCTATGACACACGAAAATTCATCTTTACCTCAATACCGTCCCTAAGGGTCAGAACCAGACAGATGTTCTAGCCTGAAAATCCCCAAATCTAGAACCCTTCTGCTACCAAGTATCTCAGACGAGGGCCATCCAACCTGTGGATAGACTGAGGGGAGAGGAGACAGCAAGTGCAGACGGGTCTCGAGAAAAATGGGGCAGAGCCCTGAGCTGACCACAGAATGCATCGTGGCAGGCATTGCATGGCATCTTCCATTACACGGTACTCCATCCGGACAGACTGAGAAGGCCACAGGTGCGGAAATAGAAGGGTTGTCTCTACTTAATCAACCTGTCAGCAGACTTGATCTAGGACACTTAAAGGAAGCCTTGAGACAAGAATCCCAAGGTTATATGATTTGGCAAAAATACCATAGCCAGCCAAGTCTAAGTTTTCCACATCTGTGTTCTCCTGGGCTTCTTCTAAGAGGAGAACTGAGGCTTTGGAAGCTCCTCTCTGTTTAAACCTGCAGACATCCGGCACTTCAGGGCAGCAGTAATCGGTCCTTTGTTACAAGCTGGTGAGTTTAGGGAATGTGGTCCACT